ACATGTCGACATATATTTCTGTAGAGCTGGTTCATCCAGTCAGTGGGAGAGTACATTGGCATTTTCTACTATCCAGCTAATGGGATAGTACATTGGTATTTTTGTTATCCAGCCAGTTGGGAGAGTACACTGGCCATGACTAATTGACGGGACCACTAAATAGATTTCAATATGCATAAATGATTTATAACTGTGATTTTCTTCCTAATTGAAATTAAAATGTTTGCTTGGCATGTTTTAAAATTTTAGTGAGGGCTATCTATGTTTTTACTTACTGACTTATCTCACATAGTTTTTCCTTGTCCACTATTTCAGGTAGCGTTACCCGAGACGTGGGAAACCAAGGGGAGTGACAAGCTAGAAGGCTATCCACTAGTATTTTGGAGTTAGGCCACTAGCCATTTGTATTTCGGACATAAATTTTGAGAAATAGATTTTATTTTGAGATATTAATCTAAGCTTATGTGAATTGTTAGTTATGAATTTAGCAAGTTTTGAGCTTTGTGCATTTGTGGGATACTCTTACAAATGTACGATGTCTATTTCGCTCCTAGTTTTAGGGCATGACAGTTGAAACTGAGTTTAGTTGGTTTCGAAATTTGTTGTTGTGACTATTTAATCCATGCTTAAGGGATTAAAAAATAAAGGTTAATATATAATTCATAACTTAAGAAATTCAAATTTTGGTTTTCTAATTAGGTTTTATATGTGTTTAATTAAGAATTAAATTTGGGGGTTTTGTAGATTATGAATCTGTGATTGAAACTATTTAAATTTTGTCCACCAATATGGTAAAACACAAAATGTGAAAATTGAGAAAGGTTATTGTGGCAGGATCGTTAATGGAAAAATTGCAATTTGGTCCCTTAGTAATTCTATTTAGTGCAAATTTGCCCCTAAAGGTTTAGTAAAATTATATATTAATGCTTAAACATTAAATTTAAGGTTAATTACTATTTAATCCTTTTTTCTTTCTCACATTCAAAATAATCTCCATGAATGATTAGGTGATATGGAGGTAAATTTAGTTAAGTATTTTAGAAATTGTGGGTATATATTATGATGTTCTTTTATTATGTAGTACCTTATTTGAAGTAACCAATTAAAAAGAAAAATGGTTTGTGATCTGAAATTCCAATAGGAAGTAAGAAAGAAAAGAGATAAAAAAGAAAAAAAAAAAAAGGGAGGAGAAGAAGTTGATTGGGATTGGGTATTCCAATTTGTTAAAGAATTCAACTAACTTAAAAAATACAAATAAAAGTTGACGGACCAATATTGTTATTTTACGATTCTTAAAAATTACATAATGGTCCAAAAGTCCAGCACGGACTTGTTTCTTCCACAATGGGTGAAGGTGTCGACAAATAACCAATGATATTAGGTTTGATACAATGTAAGGGTGTCGACACTTAGGTAATTTATAGCAATTGAGCGTTGGAAGGTTTTAAACCTTTTGATATTGTGTATTAATATTTATATACAATGTATAAGATTTTATGTGAAAAACACCTATTAATATAATCTTATTTTATGATTATATGTGCATGAAGAATATTTATTATGTGCTTTGATTTTATAAATCAAAATAATTATTTACATAATGAATCTATATATATATATTAATTTATTCCATCTAAATTAAAATACATATTAAGTGTAACACATAAAATATGTATCAATATTTGGAGGTTAAAGATATATGGTTACTAGCAAATAAATTATTAATAAGATGTGTTTTTCATGTTTTTGGTTTAAAGTTACTTTGTAAATATTATTATGCACATCATATATGCTATGTGACACATCTTGAAAATTAAATTTTAGGATTTTGCTAAAACATTTAGCCACAATTGGAGGTACATGAGTTTTATATATCCATTATTTATATATTGTAATATCTTTGGGTTAAATTTCTTGAAATTGGTTGTACTAGTCATTTGCAAAGGTTTTAAGTTTGATTATTAATAAAGAAATTTACGGTCATGGATAAATGAGTAGATAATTGTGAAACTTTAGTTCTCATGAAAGTTACTTATCTTCATATTTGGTTTAGCATATGAGTTTCCTAGTACTAGGCTTTTTAATAAGGAAATAAAGTGTCCTTATTTGGATGTAAAGAACATATTTATAGTTGCCAATAAACCATCTATACAAATTAATTATGCATTTAGAGAAAGAATAATTGTGATTTTCTACTAACTCCTTGAAAGTTAAGGAAATTTTCAAAGAATATATATTAAAGGTGCACTAAGAATCGTTGAGAATTATAGTGAATTATAGGTTTAATGATTCATCAAGTTGTTCAAGACAAATCATAAGGGTACAACCATATAAGGTAACCGAGTATAATTTTATTCATATTGATATTTTATTCAAGATAAAGTTATTTATTTTCATATGTGGGCTCTAGCATATGAATTCTATAGTTTAACTAGTCAATTTTTAAATCTCTAAGAAGGTTTTGTGAAATTAAAGTTTGGGTATAACTCATAATATATAATTTTAGGTTTAATAGTTGTTTATACAACAAATTTTGTCAGTAATTAATTACCTTTAATGAATAATTATATGTGTCTAAAAATTGTTTGATTTTTTGGAATATTAAAAATTGTTGTTCCAATGGGAGATTGGTTAATCTTCTAATAAGAATTCTGAGATGTTACATTATTTATGGATAATTGTTCTAGAGGGAACTTGTGAGTTTATGTGGATGATACTACCAAAGTAGGTAATTTATTGAGATTCACATGTTTCCCAATAAGGATTCTAGAATGTTATATTATTTATAGATAAGTGTTCCATTGGGAGTATGTGAATTGACGTGGATGGTACTACCAAAGTGGGCCAACTATTACATTTATATATTTCTCAATGAGGATTCTGGAATGTTTGCTTTTGAAATTAGTGTGTATGATTATTTACCCAAAAGGGGTGATTGTGCATATTAACTGAAAGAAGTGTGAGTGGTTAATAAGGGTTTTATTTTGGCTTTATAGAGAATTTTTTGCCCAAAGGGAATTATTTTCTATGAAACCATTCTTATTAATTCACTTGTAATAAAATTTCTAAAGTTTAATAAAGTTTCATAAAATTAGTTGATCTATTGAGAAGATCACATCTAAACTATTAAAAAGTTAAGGAATAAAGTTGTTACTTTCATATTAGTGCATGCAATATTCTGCCCAAAGGTGATTGTTGTATGCATTAACTTGGAGTAGTGGGAGCAATTAGTAAGGATGATAAGTATTTATTCATATTTACTAAAGGTTAATTTTCCTACTAATTGGCTTATTAAGGTTTAATTTTATATACTTATTTAATTAACATAAAGTGCAAAATAAAATAAAGTATAGTTGTGTCTTAAACTCTTGTGAGTCAGAGTGAATCATGCTTTGGATTAAAGTATATTATAAGGCACTTTTATGGAAACAAAGTTTTATTATTAAAATTATATTACTAATGTGCAATCAGTGTTAATTTATGTATCTCTTAAATGTTTCGCATTTTGATTGCATAAGTTTTGATTAAGTTTGGAGATACATGTTTCTTAGCATGATGGATTTGAATTGTACAATATTACAATTTTGTTGTTCAACTAGAAAAATGGTAAAAGGAAGACATTAGTAATTATGATAAGAGTAATGCAAAATTTAAGATCTTGTAAAATGCCTATTATTATTTAAGGAAATAACTCTCCTTGATTAGAAGACATTTAAAGGTTATGATGAAATAATGTGTCTAGAAAATTAGTGGGAGTTAAACAGTTTATTACTATTAATCATACAATGTATAATGATAAGATTATGGATATGAAAAAGTTGTTTGGTTGCAATGGAGAAATCTTTAGACACGTGTTATGAATGTTATATCTATGATTTTGATGATTACAAAACACATTTGAGTGACTAATTGGTTCATTTAAGTGTGTAATTAAATTGCCAAAAGACTACAAAGTAAGTAAAATAAGATTGCACTAAAAAAGTACTAAAAAGGTTGAAAAATGTGCAGAGAGCCAGCTTAAAGAATTTCTAGCTGACTGCAGCTTTTAAAGTCGGTTGTACAAGTCAAAATTTCAAGTCTGTTGTTTGGCATGCGCGAAAAATAGATGCAAAGCCAGCTTTAACTTTGCAGCTAGCTGTGAGGGCACATTCAATGCACAATAGTCAAGTTATTTGAAGATTTCTTTAATATTTTAAAGTCGGATTTCCAAAGCCAGCTTTAGATTTTGCAGCCGGCTTTACATTTTGCAGCCGGCTCTTGAGGAAAACAAAATGTGCAGGAAACCCACAAAGTCGGCTTTACATCTTGTAGCCAACTCTTTGAGAAAAACAAAGTGTGCAAGAAACCTATAAAGCTGACTGTGTAGAGTCGACTGTGCAGAGCTGGCTCTATACTTTAAGCCAGCTGTGCTGAAAATTCTACAATTCGAAATTACACGACCTACAAAGCATTAAATAACTCTCAACGACTAGTAACGACTATTTTCAACTATCAGGTTATAAATATGATTGGTAGAGGATCTGGAACAAGTTTAGAGAGCATTGTATTGAATATCTCTACCTATCAACTTGTGCTTTAACTTGAGTATTTAATCTTTGAGTGATTTTTGCTTGCAATCCTCTTCTTGTTCTATTTGCGAGTGATCTTGGGGGTGTGATTATTCCTTCAAGAGTGATTTGTAGATAGGATTGTTTGGGTTTATCTTGTAAAAGGGTGAGATTTGAGAGAAATACTCATCTTCTTGTAAAAGGATTGAGTGGCTCCTTTAAGCCACCCTTGTTCTTGATAGTGGAAAGTGTGGAGGAAATCCTTGGTGAGTGAAGCCAAGGTAGAGGACTAGGCTCTAAGTGGTTGGACCGAACCTCTGTAAAATCATTGAGTAAGCTCTTCTTCCTTACTCTCTTTAATTCTTTGTTTTGTGATTGCAAAGAGGGGAAAATTTTTTAACTCTAATTCACCCCACTCTTGGAGTGCATTGAGCCAACAATTGGTATTAGAGCAAGGGCTCCAATTTGAAGGTTTAACCACCTAGGAGTTGATCAAGGATTGCTCAATTTCAAGCTTCTCTACCACTTGAAGGTTTGTCTACCACTTGAAGGTTTGTTTACCACTAAGCCTCATTTCTTTGATGGCACTAATTATACTTATTGAAAGAATAGAATGAGGGTCTACATGCTTGCAAATGAGCCCAAGGCATGGATTGTGACTTTAAAAGGTCCATATGTGCTTATGAAAGTTGTTGGAGAAATTGCAGTGTCGAAAGGAAGAAGTTGAATGGAATGATGAAGACTTGGGGAAGATCATGATCAACAACAAAGCAATCAACATGTTTAAATGTGCTCTCAATCCAATTGAATTCCATAGAGTATCCATATGCGATACGGCTAAGGAGATGTGGGACATGTTGGAGGCAATACATGAAGGAACAAGTCAAGTGAAGGAGTCAAAAATCAATACACTCATTCACATATATGAGCTTTTCAAGATGAAACTGGAGGAAAGCATTCAAGATATGTATACAAGATTGAATGATATAGTCACCAATCTTAAGGCACTTGGTAAAGTTTATCCTAATCAAGAAGTAGTGAGGAAGGTTCTTAGAAGCTTGCCTAAGAGTTGGGAAGCCAAGAAGACCACTATTGAAGAGTCTAAGGGTCTCAAAACTCTCAAGCTTGATGATCTTATTGGAAACTTGATGACATATGAGATTGATGTTCAAGTTGATGGTAAAGTTGAAGTAGTTGAGAAGAAGAAGAATGTTGCATTGAAGACTAGCAACCAAAAGGAAGAGAGTGAAGATGATGCTTGTGATGGGGAAGACATCTCTGCCTTGATCTCTAAAGAAGTGAGAAGATTCATGAAGAAGAACTTCAAGAGTAAACTTGCAAAAAGAGTTGAAAAAGAGTCTAGCAAAAATAATGTAAAGTGCTATGAATGCAACAAGATGGGGCATTATAGAAATGAATGTCCTCAATTGAAGAAGGTTGAGAAGAAAGACAAGAAGAACAAGAAGAACAAAAAGAAGAAAGCTTTTGCCACCACTTGGAGTGATGATGAAACTAGCTCAATGGAAAGTGAAAGCTCCTTGGAGAATGGTGTTGCAAATCTTTGCTTCATGGCTCAAAAGGATAGCAACAATGATGAGGAGGTAAACTCTAACTTCTCTAGTTCAATTAATGAAAGTTCATTTGAGTATTCTTATGATGATTTATGCAAAGTTCTTGATTGCTCTATGAATGACATTAAGAAACTAGGAAATGAGAATCTTGCTCTTACTAAAACCATTTCATTGCTTAGGAATGAGATTGAATCTCTCTCAAAACAAAATGAGGTTTTAGTTAAAGAGAATACCTCTTTAAATGTTGAGATTGTATCTTTAAAGAATAAGGAATCTAATAATACTTTAAAAAAGGAAAATGAGGATTTAAAGAGGAAAGTTGATGATCTTGAAAAAGTGATTTCTAAATTCACTTTAAGTAAATAAAAGTTTGATTTTGTTTTGAATTCTCAAAGAAGTGTGTATAATAAAATGGGCATAGGATTTGGGTATTCTAAAGAGCAAAGAACTTTAAAGAATTCCTTTGTAAAGTCAAGTCAATCCTCTTATCCTAAATTCACTTGCTATTGTTGTGGAGCTAAAGGACACTTTGCATATACTTGTCCTTTGGAAAGATTAATAGCTCAAGGTAAAGTGAAGCAAATTTGGGTTCCAAAAGGAACTATAAGAACTAACCCCCAAAGACCCAAGCAAATTTGGGTACCTAAGATCAAAAATTAATTTTTGTTTTGTAGGTGTGCCTTGTGAGCAAAATGAAGAACAAATGGTATCTAGATAGTAGATGCTCAAGGCACATGACGGGTGATCCTTCACAATTCTCATCACTTATGCCTTTGGATGGTGGAACCGTGACCTTTGGTGACAATGGAAAAGGAATTGTGAAAGGAATTGGTAAAATTGGTAACAAATCTATTTCTTTTCATGATGTTTGGTATGTGGATGGATTGAAACATAACTTGCTTAGTATTAGTCAATTATGTGATCACATGCTTAGTGTTGTGTTCTCTAAATCTCATTGCAAGATTATTGATTCTAGAAATGATAAAGTGTTGTTTGTTGGAAAGAGACTTTAAAATGTATATGTGATTGATTTGCATGACATAGATGCTAATATTTCTCTTGCTTCTATATCTCATGATGATACTTGGTTGTGGCATAGATGATTAGCACATGCTAGCATGAGTGTTATCTCTAAGTTATTAAAGCATGATCTTGTTGATGGCTTGCCTAAGGTGAATGTGAATATTGATGGTGTATGCGATGCATGCATGAAGGGTAACCAAACTAGAGTTTCATTTAAGGCTAAGAAATGCATGTCTACAAATAGACCTCTTGAGTTACTTCATACGGATTTGTTTGGACCTATGCACATTCTAAGCATTAGAGGGAAATCATATGTGCTTGTTGTGGTTAATGACTATTCTAGATTTCCATGGGTGCTTTTCTTGCACATAAGAAAGATGCACTTGATGCTTTCAAAACTCTTTATAAAAAGCTTCAAAATGAGAAAGGTTTACCTATTATTTCCATTAGAAGTGATCATGGGAAGAATTTGAAAATAATGACTTGGAAGATTTTTGCATTGAACATGGTATTGATCATAAGTTTTTGGCCCCTAGAACTCCTCAACAAAATGGGGTGGTTAAACGGAAAAATCATATCATTGAGGAAATGGCAAGAACTATGCTTTGTGAGAATGATTTGCCAAAATCCTTTTGGGTCGAAGCAGTTGCAACCTCTTGTTATTTGTTGAATAGACTTATGGTGAGGCCTATTCTTAACAAAGCCCCCTATGAGATTTACAAAGGAAGAAAACCCAAGATTTCCTACTTTAGAGCTTTTGGTTGCAAATGTTTTATTTTGAACAATGGAAAGGATTCTCTAGGAAAATTTGGTTCTAAAAGTGATGAAGGCATCTTTCTTGGTACTCTACTTCTAGTAAACCTTACCGTGTGTATAATAAACGTACTAAAGTTGTTGAGGAATCTATTCATGTGGTATTTGATGAGACTAACCATATTTGCTTTAGAAAGTGTTGTGATGATGATGATGTAGATGCCATTGGAGAACAACTAAAAAATATAAATCTCAAGGAGGACAACACCAAAGAATCTCAAAATGAGAAAAATGAGGAGGACAAACATGAACAAGTGCAACAAACACACGAACCAAGAGAACCAACTTTCCCAAGAGAGAGATCCTATGTCAAAGGTAATGAAATCATTGGAGATCTATCAAAAGGGGTAACTACTAGATCTCATGCTCATAATACTTGTGCTTTTGTTGCCTTTATATCTCAAATTGAACCAAAGAATCTTGATGATAGTTTGAATGATCCTAATTGGGTGATGGCTATGCAAGAGGAATTAACTCAATTTGAAAGAAATAAAGTTTGGAATCTTGTTTCAAGACCTAAAGACCATCCCATCATAGGAACTAAATGGGTTTTTAGAAATAAGTTAGATGAGAATGGAGTTGTGGTTAGAAACAAGGCAAGACTAGTTGCTAAGGGTTATTTTCAAGAGGAAGGAATTGATTTTGATGAGACTTTTGCCCTGGTAGCTAGACTTGAAGCAATTAGAATGTTATTGGCCTTTACATGTTTTAAAGGTTTTACACTTTACCAAATGAATGTTAAAAGTGCTTTTCTAAATGGTTATATTCAAGAAGAAGTTTATGTTGAGCAACCTCTCAGTTTTGAAGATCCATTTTATCCAAACCATGTTTATAAACTTTCAAAAGTTTTATATTGATTAAAACAAGCCCCTAGAGCTTGGTATGAAAGATTAAGTAGCTTTTTGCTTACAAGTGGTTTTTCTAGAGGAAGAGTTGATACCACCTTATTTGTAAAAAAAAAAAGACCAAGATATACTAATTATCCAAATTTATGTTGATGATATTGTGTTTGGTGCTACTAATGATTCTCTTTGTCAAGAGTTTTCCAAAACTATGCAAGGTGAATTTGAAATGAGCATGATATGTGAGCTTAACTTTTTCTTAGGACTTCAAATCAAACAATCCAAAGAAGGCATCTTCATCAACCAAAGCAAATATACAAAAGAAATGCTTAAGAAGTTTGGTATGGAGCTTTGTAAGCCAATAACTACTCCTTTGAGCACTTCAATTAATCTTGACAAGGATGAAGGAGGTAAGCCTATTGATCCCAAGCTTTATAGAAGCATGACTGGCTCCTTACTTTATTTAACTGCAAGTAGACCAGATATAATGTTTAGTGTTTATTTGTGTGCTAGATTTCAAGCTTGTCTTAAAGATTCACACTTAGTTGTGGTTAAAAGGGTCTTTAGGTACCTAAAGGATACTCCTAACCTTGGTTTATGGTATCCTAAGGGTTCTTCCTTAGACTTACATTTATATTCAAATGCGAACTATACGGGTTGTAGGATTGATCGAAAAAGTACAAGTGAAACTTGTCAATTCGTTGGTAATATGCTCATATCATGGTCTTCCAAAAAGCAAAATAGTGTTGCTCTATCTACAACTAAGGCCGAATACATAGTCACCACAAGTTGTTGCGCTCAAGTGTTGTGGATGAAACAACAAATTTTGGATTTTGGCATTGCCATGGATCATATTCCTATTAAACGTGACAATACTAATGCTATCAATCTCACTAAATATCCCATCCAACATTCTTGCATAAAGCACATAGAAATTAGACACCATTTTATTAGAAATTAGGCACCATTTTATTAGGGATCATGTTGCTAATGGTGATGTTGATTTATTATTTGTTGATACTAGAAATCAATTAACTAATATTTTTATAAAGCCTCTTGATCGTGATACATTTTTCTTTATTAGAAATGAGCTTGGCATGCTAGATCCTAGTGTTTGACATGGTTCTTGAAATTAATGTGCTTACTTGTTAGAATCTATGCAAATTCATTAATTTGCATAATGTTGCTCTCTTTTATGCTTAATGTTATATAAGTTTGGTATTATGTTTACATTCTCATTGTTGTGATTGACTATGCTTTTGATGATTACATTTCTAAGTGCTTTCATTGAAGGGGAGCAATTTATGGGTATTATACTTGAATTACATTTTTTTTATGCTTTCAAGGTTGATATGCATGAATTAAGGGGGAGTTTATTGATTATGTACTTTTTGATAACTGACAAAAAGGGGGAGAAAGTGTGTTAAATTTGCTGCCATTTTCTAGACTATTTTGATGTTGAAATTTCTGTTTCTATATGAGCTCTCATTGAAATATATATGTGCTTTCATTAATTTATTTTCAAAGTGTTTTGTCAGCATCAAAAAGGGGGAGATTGTTGTACTTATGATTTTGATGATTACAAAACACATTTGAGCGATAATTGGTTCATTTAAGTGTCTAGTTAAATCGCCAAAAGACTATAAAGTAAGTAAAATAAGATTGCATAAAAAGGACCAAAAAGGCTAAAAAATGTGCAGAGAGCTGGCTTAAAGAATTTCCGGCTGGCTGTGGGAGGCAAAAATGCAAAGAGCTCACTACAATTTTTAGAGGCGACTCTACAGGTGAAAATTTCAAGTCTGTTGTTTTGCACACGCGAAAAACAAATGCAAAGTCGGCTTTAACTTCGCAACCGGTTGTGAGGGCCTATTAAATGCACAACGGTCAAGTTATTTGAAGACTTCTTTAATATTTTAAAGTCGGATTTCCAAAGCCGGCTTTACATTTTGCAGCCGGCTCTTGAGAAAAACAGAATGTGCAGGAAACCCACAAAGCCGGCTATAGAACTCTAAGCCAGCTGTGTAGAGCCGACTTTATACTTTAAATCGGCTGTGCTAAAAATTTTGCAATTTGAAATTACATGACTTGCAGAACATTAAATGACCCCCAACGGCTATTTTCGACCATGAGGTTATAACTATGATTGGTAAAAGATCTAGAACAAGTTTAGAGAGTATTGTATTGAATAGGTCTACCCATCAACTTGTGCTTTAACTTGAGTATTTAATCTTTGAGTGATTTTTACTTGTAATCCTCTTCTTGTTTTATTTGTGAGTGATCTTGGGGGTGTGAGTATTCCTTCAAGAGTGATTTGTAGAGAGGATTGTTTGGGTTTATCTTGTAAAAGGGTGAGATTTGAGAGAAATACTCATCTTCTTGTAAAAGGATTGAGTGGCTCATTTAAGCCACCCTCGTTCTTGATAGTGGAGAGTGTGAAGAAAATCCTTGGTGAATGAAGCCAAGATAGAGGACTAGGCTTCAAGTGGTTGAACCGAACCTCTATAAAATCATTGAGCAAGCTCTTCTTCCTTAATCTCTTTAATTCTTTGTTTTGTGGTTGCAAAGAGGAGAAAATTTTTGAACTCCAATTCACCCCCCTCTTGGAGTGCATTGAGCCAACAATGAATTATATGGAAAACAATTCTTGTAAATGATGCAATTATCTTTATTAAAGTTGATAAAGTCTTGTCACTCTTTTATTTTTATGTTTGATTAAAGTTTAAAGATCATGTTATATTTTGAGTAATGGATAATGGAGGATTGTTTCCATTAGAATATTTTATGTTTGATGGTGTTAGTTATCTATATAGATAACTTATTGATAGAACTTGGTGGAAAAGATATATCCAAGGTAATTGTTGATCGAAAGTAAGAGTAACATGAAGGTGAAATTATAAATAATGATTATAGTCATGCATTATTGTGATTATGTTAACTAATTTACTGATCAAGAGATTATAATTTTGTTAGTTATTTATGAGAATTATTTTAGATATTCTTGATTAAAGGGAGAAGTTGATTTCTTTGTTAATAATAAGTTTTATTTTACTTGTTGTATCACTTATTATTTTATAATGATGCATGTGCATTGTACTGATGATTTTTATGAGCTAATACAGATATTGATCTTGAGATCTTGAGGTATAAAGTATAAAGGCTTCTTTGGAGGTATATGAACTTCTTTGGAAGTATACGAACTTCTTTTGAAGTGTAAAGACTTTTCTAGAAAAGTGGGGAAGATTATCTTCTGGATTTCTATGAAACCATAATAAAGTTTAAAGGCTTCCTTGGAAAAGTGCAAAAGGAATTATATCTTGATAAAAGGGTTTCTTTGAAATCATAAAGAAGACCATTATGGTTTTGACATGTTATATATTGTATGGATCACGTTGTGTCAAACCACATTACACTTTATCACACCTATTGGAATTAATGTTGGCGGAGATATTTGATACTTGTGATTGTAAGGGGTCTTGTGTTATTAGTGACATAATGATAACATAGTTCGGTATTGGTATTTTCATTGAACAGAATTCTATACTGAGATTTTGATTTATATTTATGGCCACTAAAGTTGTATTTGACTCAAGAGTCATTTTTTTTTAATATTTAAAAAAAAATTAAAACCAATTAACATTGCTCAAGTGGGAGAATGTTGGAAATTTTTGTGTGGGCTACCATTAATTGTATTTGGTTTTCAAAATTGAGTCAAATGGAAAAACCCATAAAGCCCAATAAAGTGATGTGGTCCAAGTGGCTCTAAAATTTATCTCAGTTTTATATGATTGGATATGAATAAGTGTAAGACTTGAAGTTAAAAGTGAGCTACTTGATAGGGGTATTCAAAAGATTATTATAATGAGTTAGATCCCCTCTCTCATTCAAAAAATCCTACCTCTATAAATAGTAGAGTTAGGGAATATGATATGACCCATTGGTTGCATTATACATAAGTTGAATAGAGAGAGGAAAGCCTAAATTCCAATATTGATTATATTTGTTTTGTAGGTTTTTATTATGAAATCCCAAATTATGATGATTCTTGAAGCTATCTTTGAAGATTCTTAGATAATATATTGATTATAGAGATTAAGCTATGTAATTTATTTATTTGATTAGATCTTAGTGTCTTAAATTTTACGTATATTGATCCTTAAAATTCTAACATTTTCTTCCTATACTTTTGCAAAAATTATTCCGAGATTCAAGTAATTTCTAGCCTTCACAAGACTATCGTCCTTTCTTGCTATTTTCTGGTTTTCATGGCAATAGCTAAGGAGATTTATTGAGATTTTTATAAATTTAAATTTATAAATATAGATAGATTTATTTGAAAATACTATTTTTATAAAAGAAATAAATTAATCAAATTCTAAATTTAAATTTAAATTAGTAGAAAAAATTAATTTAATTAATTTTAATTTTAATTTATTTAAAGTTAAAGATAAAAAAAAATTTTAAATTAATAAATTTAAAATTAACTGTTAAATCCTTGAAGGACTCATGGGGTGAATTTTAATCCATGATGGAGTAGGGTTGTCTCATAGGGCAAGAGAGCCCTAAACAAATTCTTAAGTTGTATCTAAAATTGTTATAAAGTATTATGATTATAATTTTTTTAATATATTATTATGAAAGATATTATGTTATTATTTAATATTATTTTTAAAAATTTTATATATTAATGTGATTATTAAATTATATAAAATATTAATTAAAATATATTTATAAAATATTATAAAAAATATTATGTAAAAAACAACCTCATGTACTACCCTAGTCCGTCGTAGACAGGGATGTGCAGCAAAGAGAGAGAAATAAGGACGATAAATCTTCTCCTTTCAAAATTTTTACTTTGATTTAAAAACTAAATTTTAATTGAAATAAAATAATTAATTATTTTTTTAAAATAAAATAATTATAATACAATCAAATATTAAAAGATGAGAAATTAATATAACTGATCGGAGCAAAAGCCTAAACCAAGTAGCACGCTACTTAAACCATTATCACTGGCCCACCAACGCGTTAGCAGTAAGTCATCCTATTCTGTATTAATAATATAAATGTAGTAAAACAATATGCCTGATTGGGTTGCGATCCTCAAGAAAAAGGCAAAATGAAAGGATGACTTGTAATAGCATTATCCAAAGAAATCAGAAACGGTGCATACGCGGTAGCTCCTTAGTGGCGAAAACGATTGACATAACTTATTGAAGATGAGATAATTCTCCCGGGGAAAAAAACGCAACATAGGAAATTTCAGTTCATTCAAATCCCTCCGTTCTTCCTCCTTCCGCCACACATCGGCCTGTTAACCAGACGCCAGAAATGGCTACCTCCAGTTTGGCATCGGCTGCTTCTGGTTTTCTTCTCACTCCTAATGTCACTGGAAATTCAAGTTCTGTTTGTCGGAACAACATCTTGTCTTTCCCTGTGAGGAGCAACAGCACAAGGTTCGTTGTAAGGGCAGAGGAGGAGGCAGCAGCGCCTGCGCCAGAAGAAGGTGCAGAAGCAGCCAAACCAAAACCAGCACCAATCAGACCCAAGAGAGGCGCAAAGGTCTGAAACGTATCCGCCGTAGAATCATCAATAGCCAGCCAGAATCCCAAAGATTTTCTATTTATGGGTTTGATCTAATCTTCTTTTGATTTTCACCTGCAGGTGAAGATTCTTAGGAGGGAATCTTACTGGTATAATGGCACTGGATCTGTTGTAGCAGTTGACCAGGTGATTTTTCTCACTAATTCTTCATGCTTTTTAGGTTTTTTTTTTTCCCCCTTTCAAAGAGAACTGTATGTATTTTGTAGTGCAATCTGCACCAAACTGCAATATCGTGATCTTTGAATAGGTGGAACTCACGTCGAGTTCCATTCATTCTTTATATAGATTTTGTAGGTTGGTGCAAACTAGACTACGAAAATTATTTCTTAATGCGTTGATATATGTATATGAATTGACTGGATGGTGCAGGATCCGAAACTCGTTACCCAGTTGTGGTTAGGTTCAACAAGTTGAATTATGCTAATGTATCTACAAACAACTATGCTTTGAATGAGATTGAAGAGGTTAAATGAAGATGAAATGTTATTTTTCTTCTTGATTTTGCGATTGTCCTGTGTCTCTCTAGATTAAGCTTCTATGTGTCAGGAGTGTGTATCATATACTCATATTCTCTCCAGTGATTTCTGATTTCTTCTTTCTGCTTTTGTTTCCACAATCAACATCAACGTTGATTTGCAAATGTTTATAATGTTAAGCTGCAACAAGTGGCAATTTTGTTTATCTGATCTGAAAATAACCCTAATGGATTGTGAATCATGGATTCATTAAGGTTTAAGTACCATTTTGGTCCCTCAACTATCCACTTTGGTACCAAAATTGTCCCTCAGTTTTAAAAGGTACCAAAATTATCCTCAAACTTTCATTTTTGGTACAAAATGGTCCTTCCGTCAGTTAAATGACAGGTGGCACGTTATTTTGCCACAAAATTACATTTAAAAAAAATTAATAATTACATGGAAAACCCACGTAACGTTATTTGATGAGATGGCATTTATGTTTTTACACGTGGCATTTTTTATTTAAATAAAGACCCACATAATTTATTATTATATTATTATTATTATTCTTCTTCTTCCTCCCTTCTCTCTCATCCCTCTGCCCCTTCCTTGATCTGTCGAGCTCGGACCCAAAAATGAGTCGGCGCTGCTCGCATTGCAGCCACAACGGCCACAACTCCAAGACATGCCCCAACTGCATAGCTTCTATGAATGTTCGTTATTCTTCTTCTTCCTCCCTTCTCTCTCTCATCCCTCTGCCCCTTCCTCAATCTATCGAGCCCGGACCAAAAATGAGTCGGCGCTGCTCGCATTGCAGCCACAACGGCCACAACTCCAAGACATGCCCCAACTGCACAGCTTCTATGAATGTTCGTGCGCTTTTCTTTATGCATGTTTGAAAAAAACCCAGATCTGGGTTTGAGAAAAACCCAGTTCTCAAACCCATATCTGGGTGTCTCCCAACTTAGATAATGAAGCAGAAGCAGATTCACAATTTATGTTTCTTTAAACGCCATCACTGCTGCTTCTTCCGGTGTTATCCTCGTTATCCATGGCGCCATCACCTCCACCATCACTCACGTCGCCGTCACAACCGTTGCCATTGCCTCGGGTGCTTGTCTCTCCACCAAGGTCGACTTCTTTTGTTTTTGGTTTTGTTTCTTTGTTTCTTTTATGGAGCAATTGTTTGTGGTTGTTTGTGGAGAATCTCTGTTTCTCTCAAGAACGCATGAGAAACAAAAATTTTTGTTCTATTTTTTCGAACTTTTATGGTTAATTCTTGGTCTTGATTCTGCTACTTTCTTTGTCTTGATGGAGCTAGAATTTTCGGTTCTCTTTAAATCAGTTCTCGCTGGTTTCTGTGCTGATTTCGCTAGCATTTTGGGTTATGGTTTGCTACAGATCGAGTCTCCAGTGGTTCAGTAGTGTTTCTTTTTGATTTATTCGCATCCACGTGATTTGTCTTGATTTGGTGAAATTCGAATGCGTGTATTTGAGGTTTTTTTGTTGGATTGTGATTTAGTTTCTCTTTTGTTGTGTTTCAGTGGTGTCGGAGGAGTTATTTAGGTTTGAGAAAAACCCAGATTTGGGTTTGATTTGGAGAGGAAGAAGAAGGAACAAGAGAGAGAAAGTGAAAGAGGAAGAAGAGATGATATGGCAACTTTTCCGCAGATATGCCTTGTTTAGTATAATGGAATGATTTGTATTGCTTTTTTTATTATCATCAGCTTCATTAGATCGTTAATTTATGTGATGAAACCCAGATCTGGGTTTGAGAAAAACCCTGATCTGGGTTTGAGAAAGGAAGAAGAAGGGAGAAGAAAGAGAGAGAATAAGAAGAAGAATGAGCGAAAGTAATGCATTATTTTTTTTTCCTGGGTTTGAGAAAAACCCAAATCTGGGTTTAAGAAAGGAAGAAGAAGGAG